CTTTTTATTGATTTAAATAATTGCTTGAATTAACGATAATTTTGTTCACAACGCACATTGTAAAAGTAAGCTTGAATTTGCGTACATTTGTTTGCATTTTTTTGTAACATCTGCAGCCTGTGACATTTTAACCAACTCTCAAAATTTGTGTGAAGCCCTATCTCATATTCTGTGCAAAACGATGGCTTATAAGAAACAGCAGATTTGTGATTGGGTAAATTGGTATGAGACAATAAATTCCTGTTCAACCACCATGGTTTACACCATTTCATTTTAGTTTTTAAGCTCATCTTTTTTTTGATTACACACACTGCAGCCGTTGTAAGAATTAACTCTTCGTCCAAATGTTCCATCTTGTCGGCAACAATGCACGTTTGGGTGCTCTTCCTTCACATCTGTGTAAAACGAACTGAACGTGTAAACGCCAGATTTTCGTTCAGATGGCTTGAGCGTGTAAACGGGCTTTTAGGGATTCCTGGTTTATTGTCAGCCAAACTTAGGTAGAATCTATTTTTAGACTAACGCAACCCAAGGAAATCGCCCTTCGGTGAACTACCTTGCCGAGATTTTCGAAGTGACTTGGAATGCAATTCATAAGGTTTATATTATCCTCTAATGTCTCCGACAAGGATCTTCAACCTTTTCTGCTTTCATAGCTGAAACAACAGTCAATTATGGAAATTAATTTGTGTTATATAATTATGTGAATGCAACATGTGGACCGAGTTGAAGCTACTTTTATATCGCGCGCACAAAAAATTATAGTACACTTCAATATAATTCCTACTTAGTGCCTAAATCTTGGATAATGACCATGTTCAATAAAGAGGTAAACAAAATGTATCTTCATGCTTAAAAAGTATATTTCATTAGCATTATACTACATCCTTTCTCCCAACTTTTTTTCCTTTATGAGTATAGTATCAATAGAATGTTTCTTGAATTAGACAAACATAAAAAATTACGAATAACAGGCATGAAACGATATCACAGCAAAAATGAAATAAAAGTATGGACGCCTGAAAATCACTTCTGATTGTATTAGTTGATTACAAACCTGTACCTAAAGAAAAATTGTAGTTTATTTTACTGGCTTATGGTTTTAATGCTCTTGCGGTTTCTGAACATATTTTCCAACTCAATTAAATAAAGAAATAGGAAAAACGAAACGTAAAGTTCTGCAGCGCAAACGCGTAATTAAATTTTAATAAAAGAGAGAATATAACTCAAAATCCGATAATCGAACAAACGCAAGAGACGTTCTTGTCCTTTCATTAAAAAACCCACATGCCCCTTTATTAGACAATTTAGCAAATTTCCATCAAATTCGTACAATTAAATAGACCACCTTGAGTTCTGTCCCAAATCCGCATTTCCCGTGAGTGATTACTTTAAACAGGAAACTCCTGGAAATTGAGTCATTAATTATTAGTAGATTCAAGCGTAGCGCCAAAACAAAAATCGGTGTTTTTTGTAATTTTTGTTCATTTACATATTCCCGTACAGAAATTCTCGTATACATACTTGAACTCTAAATGCCTCAAGAAATACGATGCTATCGTGCAACAGTTTTATCACCGATTTATCATCTGTAATATCCATAGAAACTACCAGGTTTCTTTGGGAAAAAAGCCTTCTGTATTCCCGATATATTTCTTCACTTCTAACCACAATTATTACACAAACACACACTATTATTAACTTTTACATGCCATCAATAGCGAATTTAAAATACACATATTGATCAATATTATACCTTAGTAAGCTAAACCACATAAGGTCGAACAGTTCTCGAGCCGCACTAGTAACAAAATCAAACTTTTATATCTTCTACTGATCAAATTTATCTCGAAAACACCAATATCGCAGTAATATAATGTCTGTAATGAAATTCTCGTGCATTCGGATGAACTCAAAACGCAAGCGTACTTATAACTTGGTTCACGGAGGGCTGCAAGTACCAATATCGTATTTGGATTAATGTGGATAGGACTTCAGCGGACTTAAAAATAAGGGTAGGATTAGGGATATTATCACATTTTTTAAGTATGACACGCCGCTGTAGTTTGGATTTTCCATATGTTGGAAGGTAATTACCTTCAGTTGAGAGATCAAAAAATACTGTTTCACAAACTGTAATATCCTAATATTTTCCTTAAAACATGTTTTTGTCCGTGTTGTTCCCTTCAGCACAAAGTTATTTGTCTGAGTGGCACGAAAACGCAGAACGTCTTATTACCAACCTATGCAAATAAAATTATTCTCTATTTGCTTAGGAAATCGTGAACAAGTTTAAAAATTCTTCGTAGACCTATTCAACTTCTACACTGTTGCAGATGCATGTTTTAGAGTAATTTCGATTGGCATCAAATAAACACACGCAAACATCACAAGTTTAAACCTTTTACATAACATAGGGCGCAACCCGTTTTTTATTCAGATGAATAATTTAGTTCTCAAGAACGGAAAGTCTCATCAAATATATCTTAGGGTTGAGCAAAAAAGAGGTTTTCTGCCAACGGAATGTTGTAAGAATGTTAAAAGTAGGACTTGCCCTACGGCTGGCGAGTTTACATGGCGTCATTTCGTGCATACGTGATGATTTTTTGCCCGAATGTTTTATGTCATTTTAATATTGACATAGTTTACTACGCTCAAGCCTGAGCTTCATGTTTTTATGGGTTGGCTTACGGCGACAACATTAATTTCTCCCATATATAGTCCGGTGCCTTATTAGCATAAAAAAAACTACATGAAAGTTTAAATAGTCCAGAAATGCTAGGTTTTATTTCAATTTGATTTGCTGTTTGTGACTTCAAATACTTTAGTTGAATTCCCAACGGAACTTCAAAAGTATTGTGTTTTTAACAACATTTCCGATTTTAAATCATTTAAGCAGTAACTGTTTGGTATTTAAGTTGCAATGGTTGCAATTATTAGAAAAGCTGTAACTGCTCTCATGACTTAAAATAACTAAACTTTTCTAAAGACTTTTAGCGATATACAGAAATTACGGACCTCTATTTTAAGCACCATATTTATTAGCCATTATTTTAATTGTTAATTTGTTACTCCGCAATGATTAGACATTTTCTAATCTTTTACGCCGTTACATTGCTTTCTGGAATTCGTTCGTAACTAAATTAAACCCTTAAAATACAGTAGGTTCTACTGATATGTTTTATTACGTATGAAAGTAGCGTCCCTCATTCGGCTACGGAGCTAAAAGTGAAAACAAAAAGACTTTTAATTTTTTTAAAGTCATGTTTACCCATGGTTTACGTACGACCATTCTACGGCGTTTATCTTCAGCAGTTGCAAAATTCAAAGCTTCTTGGGGCCAGTAACAGTTATAATGCCACCTAGTTCGGTTAGGTTCGTAAAACAGGTGAGATCCTCTCAGGCCATAATCGTAATACATTTTACTATGTTCGGGATATGTATAATATTTATGTCCATATCTGTCGTGATGGATTTCTAGAACCATATTTTCTGAAAACTGAAGAAGTAGGTAAAGTCAGTAATAAAGTAGGAATGAAAAACAATTCCGAACATTTGTGGAAAACAGTTTTATACAGGTTACGACCTAAGACATCAACCTCAAGTGCATATTTTAAATAATTCATTATTTTTACTTAAAAATCAATATAACTAAGGCATACTTAACAATGGCATCAGGCATACTTAACAATGCTGTTCTCTAAGCAAATAGTTTTATGAACGACAAAATGTTTTTTTGAAATTTAACACAAATAATGTTCCCATAATAAAATTGAATATTAAGAATTAAATATTAAAAATTATACAAAATGACAGATAATTTATATGCCCTAGAAGTGCCAATGTTTTATATGCGATAGATAACATTTAAGTTGTAAAATATGGAATGCTGCCATTGTCTGGAGTGTTTTTATTAATTTTTCTACAGCTTGGAATCGTATTAAAAATATCTATAGATGACCGATGTTTATATTATTTAATTAAAAATTCAATACGTAGCATTCATTACGTAGCGTAAACAATAACACGTTAATGTCTCTATCTTCAACTAAAGAGGTTTTTCAACTTCAACTAATTCAACTAAAGATGTTTTTTTATTGAACCCGCTGTTGTTAGGAGTCCGAATATAGGGAGTAAAGTTAATGTTAAATTTTCTAAAC